TTATTTTATTGCATAATGATACTACGATGCGTATCTGCAAGTATTGCTAACTGAACTGTCAGCTCTTTCTGTACTATTTCTCCTCAATAAAGTCTCACTCTAAACTGTATTCGAATTGATTATACTTGTCTATATCTGTAAACTGTACTAGGTAGTGGCAGCAAAACTTTATGTTAGTGCTACTGTACTAATTAACTTACCGGTAATGGCTACATTTTACAGTATATTACAGTCAAAATACAAGAACCTTCCCACTTCCGCAATCTGTTGTAATTTTCTGTAAATTGTTCTGTTTTTCTGTAGCGGTTACCAAATTATGAACAACTATGGTGACAAAATTTAGTTTTCACTTGTATAGCCCCAGCGAGTTTGCGCTCTGTAGAGCGTCTTGTTTACAGTTTAAACATGGACGAATAGACACACATGCATGCGTTGAAACATCATTTATATATACAACTTACATGGCCTATAATTATATTTGTTTGTATTTTTGTCATTTTAATTGAGTGAAAGGTTGATATTATCACATGCTAAAGAGTAAAAGTTTTTTTGTCCATCGCCGCTTATAAAATATTTTGTGTGAGAAAGGATCAATATTAAAGAACTGTTTGTATTAAAGTGATGCTAAATAGCCCTAAAAACAAGGAAGCCAATCAACTGTTGTTACTTTAATATTTTGATTGTCATGTTTTCAACAACAAACAAAGATGGGCCACTTAATATTCTCAACAAATAACAATTCTAGGTTTGATTTCTAGTTTTCGGGCAAATATTTATTACTTTGAGGCTGGTTTCTGCCGAGGATTTCTGTTCGTTATTAGTAGCTATCGGTCAGAAAGGCACGTTTTACGCAATAATTATTGCAGCAATATTCCCCCCCCCCGGTATTTTTTTTCCGAATTTTTAACAAATTAAGAATTTTTAGTGTTCCGGTGTTCCGTGTTCCAGAATGATGCTGTTCCGGTGTTCCGTGTTCCGGTGTTCCTGGTTTTACTAATAGCCTGCTGAACAATATTGTTAACATTCGTGAACAATAGGTGTAGCATATTGTTGCAACCTGTTTTTATCAACATTGCAACTACAAGTTCATGATTTTTACGCGTGTATGCAGGAGAGGAAAAACTTTTTTCCGATTTAGACACGTGTCCTGACAATTCCCGGGAAATTCCTGTGACACCGGTTTTACACCCAAAATATCAGCCATATGGCAGTGACATGATAGTATGCTATCACAAGAAGTTGAGTTCGAAGTTATATGGAGAGAATTGTAGATTACATTATTAAAAGATAAACTGTCAGATAAAATTCGTTCTTCGAAAATTTGTAGTTGTCATTTTACCAGGAACTTCTTTAGTAGATTTATTCAGTTTTATAGGCAAATTACATGTGTTCGCAATTGTCTAGCAAACAACGAATTCGATTAAATTTGCCCATTTCAGCGTTTTATTCCCATTTCAGTTTCCGCTTTCAGTTTCCGCGATTCAGTTTCAGCGTTTTATCCCTACCCGTTCATATCTTCCTCCGCTTTCATAACGCGTAGTTGCATTGAACGTCTCCTCAACTAAAGGAGATGTTTTGTTCAGTTATCGACTGGGACCCATGTCCCTATCTTCCCCGTATTACTACTCTAGATCAATATTAGTCGTTAAAATACAAAAGTCATATAAAGCTGAAACCTATTTAATCTGCATCATGTCATGAGTGACCATGTGTTCTTCAAGTTCTCTGGGAACGTCAAACACAGCATCACAGGCACAACAAGCATATCCAATACCAGTTGGTTCTGTTGATTCAAGTTCTTGACAAAAACCGCATTTATAGTTTCCATAACTTTTATGTTCCCTTGCTATATGTCGTACCCATTTCATGAAACTATGAGGCAACCCTTTGCTACATTTACTACAAACATACTTTCCACTGCCTGTATCCTTAACAAAATATTCTTGCAATTCTTGGGGTTGAATAATTTCTCTGTGGCAAGTGTCACATAACAAATGTTGCTGTTCATGGGAATTAAGATGATGCTTGCGTGAAAATCTTTGTTTGCAGACATCACACTCATAAGGTTTGTCCCCAGTGTGTAATCTTTTATGTGTTCCTAGATGGCTAGATTGTGAAAATCTTTTGTTACAGATATTACATTCATAAGGTGTTTCTCCTGTGTGTGTCCGCCTGTGTATCACCAAGGTATTTGAATGTCTAAACCTCTTGAAACAAACATCACATTCATAATGTTTAGCCTCTGTATGTGTCCTTGTGTGGACTGCTAAATTTCCTGATTCTGAAAATCTTTTCTCACAGAAGCCACATTTGTAAGGTTTGTTCCCAGTGTGTTTTATTTTATGTGTTGTTCGGTGGCTTGACTGAGAAAATCTCTTCTTGCAAACATCACACTCGTAAGGTTTGTCTCCAGTGTGTGTTCTTTCATGTGCAGCTAGATGGCCAGATTGTTTAAACCTTTTCTTACAAATATCACATTCATAAGGTCTGTCTCCGGTGTGTGTCCGTCCGTGGTTCATCAAACTACTTGAATGTGCAAATCTTTTCTTACAAACATCACATTCAAAAGGTTGGTCTCCAGTGTGTGTTCTCTTATGTATCTCCAGATGGCCAGATTGTGTAAATCGTTTCTTGCAAACGTCACATTCATAAGGTCTGTCTCCAGCGTGTATCATTTTATGTTTTGCTAGATGATTAGAATGGAAAAATACAGAACTTACAAGATCACGTTCATAACGATTGTGGGGTAATAAACCACCACGAAAATTTGCTACGCATTCTAGTGGTTATACCATGGATTGTAAAATAACTGGATAGGAGACTAGCTGACGTCACAGTCTAAACCTAGTTGCAATCTGTGACGTCACGTTTATTGCCAAAGTTCTCAGCATTTTTGTTGTTTCGCTATATTTTCCGCTTTAAAAGAGTAATATTGAAGCAAACTGGTCTAATTGTTTTAAAAGCATGCCTAAGCCATGACAAAGTATTCAAGGTAAATGTTTTTCGTCTTTGTTTTGTATTTTTTAACATTTGTAGCTACGAAATTGGCGTCGCCAATTTTTACGAAATTTGCGA